TTACCATTAGAATGCAGGGAGAGACAAAGATTAATTTTTGTAATATTTAATTTAAATACTATTCCTTTTTTTTCATAATATTGTACATTCATGGATGATTTAGTAACATTTTAAAGGATGTGATGAAAATAAATGAGTTTCAAAATTGTTTCTATAGGTGTATGAAAGCCACTTTCACTTTCACTTTTTCAAAAAGGTAAGCGAAAATGTGTTGGAGCAACGAAATGATTTCTGAAGCTGAAGAACGCCCTTATCTGCATAAGTATAACGTGCCTGCTAGTGAGAGATATTAAAACCGACATCGTTATCAGACCTTCAGAATTACCTTGACCCTGTTCGGACTGCACTGAAGGCTCCCAGTCCACACTCAGTGCTCACATTGAAGATGAAAGTTCTATTGAGAGAGAGAGACCTTTAAACGTGTCTCATACCAAGCTTGAGTGCGACGACTTCGCATATATAAGAAATACTGGTAGAATTTTCAATGAATTTAATGATTTGTAATAAGTTGTAAAAAAATATCTGCGCGACTGTTTCGAGAGCTCAGGATACTTGATTCCCTATTCGATGTCGGATTATAGCTAAAGTATTGGGCATACAAAAAAATGTTAATATGCTTTTTTGTGGGCAATTTAATGAACTATATTTTTTATCTGAACTATTTTTCCGTATCAATAATTGTTGCCGATATATAGGCAAGAAACTGAAGAAGTGCTCCTTTTTTCCAGGATGGCGCCTCGAGCGCAACAGATTTTGACGGGGACTTTTAGTATGTCCAATAGGGAACACTAATGAACATGTGTACCAAAATTCAGATCTTTACCGATTAATGTTTTTATTTTTTCTTATTTGACTGGACTAACTATCAAATTGGTAAATAATACTTGTTAACGCGTAGGAAGACTGCCGAACACCAACAAGAGGATGGTATAGAAAGTATTCCTGTTGCACTGTAATTAGGAACGTGGTTTTTTCAAACGTATTCGATTCGAGTTAACCTTGCGAAATCAAATGACCTTGCAAAAAGTTATCGTGTCAGGGTTTTGTACAAATAATCGTTTATTATTATTATTGTTATAACTATAGTACTGGGGGGTGGTCCCAGTCGGTTCGTGCACTGCGAGGTCTATTGTGTTCGCCGATATTGTCTACCCTTCAAAAATACCTATGTATTTAACAAAGTCAAGCATTTTTATAGGGCGAATCCTCGTTACTTCCTTTTTAGTTTAATTTTTGCATTCGCAAATAGGTGTTCCCTTGCCTTTGTGTATGCTTCACATTGCAAACGTGGTGTGGTGTTTCTTATTCGTCACCACAACCTCTGTATAAGTTGTCAGTCAGTCTTATTGAGTGCAGCTGTTTGTTCAAACGACAGTGACCTAGGACCAGTACACTTCACATTGGAATTATCCTCCCAGTCGTATCGAGCGGGGATTATCGTCTTAAATAGTTTTGTAAGACAAACTGTTTTGGTTATTCTCTCAGTTATCACACGGGGGCTTTTATCTTTAGAGATTTCATCAAAGATGAGTGAATGCCCCACCCTTCATGATCCCTTCTCGCCAATGACTCTAGGCAGGTATGCATCTTTGAGTTACCGGGTGTAGTAAGTTGAAGAGGGTCACCATAGATGTTGTCGGGGTCGTTATCGTTGGCCCCCATCATTCCAACGCAAGCTCTGCACTGGGCTCAATAAGTTCCTCCATTAGTTTTAGGAAAAACGACGTTAGACTGATGGATCCTAACTGACTTGGCTTGGATTTATGGGTCTCGCCCAAGTGTCGGTATGAATACCGTCCCTCCACGCCATAGGTATTTATCCCAGGGCAAAACTTAGTAACGTTAATAGTGTGGATGCTAGCAGGTCGAGGCCTTGTAGTAGTAGAGCAGGAAAGATTCCATCCACCCCTGGCGAGTTATACGGACGGAAAGTATTCATTGCCCACCTAACTTTGATTAGGTTCACTATTTGTCGAGCCAAAACCCAATCTCCTATGTTCGCCCTGAGAAGCGTTTCCAGAGAAATTGGTTCGCCCGCGCTATTTTGAGCGAGGGTCTTTGATCACGCAAAGTGTGATTGAAGCAAAAGCTCGAAGGTCTCCTTTGTTGCTTTTTGGAGTCTGGCACCTTCTGGAATTAATTAATTTCCTCGCAGTACCTACTCCACGAGTTATGTTTTGCCTTTCGTATAGCGTTATTGTATTCGGTGAATGTAGTTCGGTATGAACCATACCCCCTCGTGTTTTTGCTCTATAAAAAATCTCCTAGCCTGTGCCCGCAATCGAGAGTGTCCCTCGTGCCACCAGCTACTTTAATTCAGGTTCTCCTCTCTTTTGTGGGACAGATTGTCTCATAAGCACCTTTGATGGCATGCGAAGGGTTGATTACATGACCTCCAGTTCCGCCGAGTAATACGGGCACTCGAGATAGACCTTTAGGTCCTCGCTGTAGAGGTACTAGTTGGTTCTTCTTTGATTTCTATATACGGCTACTGCCGCTTCGTTTGATACAATGTGTGGTAGGTAAGGTTGATCGAAAGACAGGTACGCGGACCCGAGAACAAGTCCCCTCTCACTCCCTTCCCCTTCTACTGCCAGCATTACTACCGTCCGGTCTGCAACGAATTTCCATAGTGGTAGTAACTTAACGCTATTTCTAGCTAGATGCACTATTTAGGATTGATTTCGGTTGACTCAGTGATGAGTTCAGTCCCAGACCTAGTATCAGCTCTTCCAAGGTTTTTCCAGGGCTACATCAATATGATGTTTCGTTATGTATGCACAGAGGGGGCAGATGCCGCCCTATGTGATGCAAATTAATTTGTAGGATTTTTACCATACGGGAAAATAATAAAACCGTGCTTACCTACTGAAGTGCGGTGGTTGGCACAGTCAGTTGTGGTCCCCCTCAACTGTTGTGGCCTCTTCGCACTCCATGCTTGTCACCTCCTCTGTCTCCCCCTTCGTGTTGGAGAGGAGTACGAACGCCGCTCTGATGAAGTTCAAGCAGGATCGATAGTTGCAAGTGACCCCCATCTTGTATCTTGTCTCATGAAGTTTGGTCCCTTGGGCTCCTCCTTCCTGTCTTCCACACGCCAATTGCCGGTTGTAACTCCGTCATTTTGGATTATGATTCTTTTCAGGATCTTCTCCGATTCTACTTGAGCCCCGGGGATCCACGCGTGTGCCCATACTGGTTTTAGGAGGCTCTTCGCTTCCCTCCTTCCCTCCCACGGAGATGCTCTCGCTAGCTCCGACCTCAACCTGTCCACCGATACCTGCCCTGTGCATGCTCCCCCTCGGTGGCGACACTCCGTGACTTTGGCCGAAACCGCTCCAATGGACAAAGCGTCGACTCTGTTAAGGATACAGGCTTTGGTTCGCCCTGTCTTCTTTTCCGACAGCGTTCCCTATATTTCGTTTACGGTCCCAATTTTTGCCGTTTTCGAGCTACTGCCCTGGGGAGTGCTGCCATCAGGCAGGTGTCGCTTTTGCGTCCCAGTCTCGGTAGGTGCCTTAACCTGGTCGTTTAGAGAGGTTCAGTAGATGGGAGGTCAGGTTTCCTAGAGGCCCTTGGTTCCAGTCTCACCTTTTTTAGCTTCCGGTGCGCTGTCTCAGAGAGCTTTTAGGTTGTCCAGTACCACTCCGGGAGTAGTGTGTTGGGTTTTCCTTATCCATATGAGTCCCACGAGTGTGGGGGACGCGCGGTTCCCCTGCACACGTGTAATTGGTGTTTAGTACAACGGAGTGGTGCCCGGTGTACCGAGTTTGGGATCGGTAGTTGCTAATCCTCTATTCAGCAGCATTCTCTCAGTCCGACCCTCTGACCATTAGGATTTAGTTTATTTGCTGAGGTTGTCTCCTCTTTGCCCGGGCGGTAAAGCCCCGCGCCATCCTGAACTCTCCAGGTATATCGGCGTGGTTGACGTACAACATCGAACATGTCGACACCGTTTAACTCCGGGCAAGCCTTTGGCCACGATACGACAGCCAGGCAGGGTAGCTGGTCTGCGATGCTGTCTTTGGTTGCTATCAGTCGCTGTTTCATAAGCAACGGGTATCCTTATCCCTCGAATTAACCTATGCGTCACTTACGCTCATTCGCTTTGGCCGTTCCCTCCACCACCTGGGGACGCGTTTCATTTAAGTTAACACGCGTCATTTAAACTTTTCCTTAAAACGTTGTGTTACGTTCAACAGACAACGACTAAATCTTGAACCGATTTACATTAGTTAATTAGTTCTGATTTTATAAAAGTGACAAATTCTCTTGACTTAAATGTTTGATATTGTGACGTTCATGGATTATATGCAAGCATTATGTGAACGTATTTATAGTTATTCCAGTACCAGTAGAGTAATTTTAGTTTAACATTTATGTAATTTAAGAACGTATAAAGCTCAGCTTAACAAATTTATTTTTTATTTGTATCGCCCTTCGACTTATAACTCGCTTACGAATTCTTAACAAAGGCACCTTGAGCAAACCTTTATTTTATTGGAAAAGATTATGGAAAGTTTTATAAGAATAAAGGGATTACGTTTCTGCAAGCCTCCTGGAATATTCGCGCCTTGGACTACCATTCGCTCCAATAAATTCGCCCTTGCACTATTTCTCTTGTGAACGTGGACGTGAATTTTTATTCGCGTGATTGAACTGAAGTTTCTACAATTCTTGGGGCGATTTTCGGGGGTCGAAGTATAGTCCAGCGGGTAGTTGCACTGATTACATTTGCCATGTTGTTATGTTTATTTGCATATATGCAATTAATACTGGCTGGCAGCTTTGGCACTGTTGAATTCTTTATACACAATCCTGTTTGGGTCTCTGCCGTAATTAACAGAATCACTCTTCCAGTTCCTTTAATTTATGTTAACCTTATGATTACGTGTTGGTCTCGCAATTTAGAAGCAAGTACCTATTCTTGCCTTGCTCACTATTCATACAAACGTTATGGTTGACAAACGACCTTTGCTTGCGCATTTAAACTAACCACAAACTTAATTATAACAATGTAAATTATGTTAAAAGTCAGAGATAGCGTAACGTATTTCATTTAAATTTCTCATCATCTCGGTTGTTTAGCCCTTCGTGTGTATACAGCATTGACACCAGCTGCAATTTTGTGTATATCATCTCCGATGGCCGCAAGCTTCAGATCTAAAAACGTCGAGGTGAGCTTGCACAATTTATTCGGTAAAATACACGGTTATTAATTACTAGTTCATGAACAGATCGATGGAATAGTTGTACCTTCCGCCAAAGAGAAATTAAGTAATCGTCCTCGGATTTGCAATATTGCAATAACAGCAAAAACTGAAACTCGTTCGATATAAAATAGACGCGATTGGTATTCGATCGTTAGTCACATCAGACAAAATGTTTGGTGCACTTGCAGCGTGTTTGGCTGTATTGATCGTCACTTCCACTGCAAGAAGAGCAATTTATGTTCGTGAAGCTGAAGTGCAAGACCAAAATTCGGCATCTACAGCATACGCTTATAATTCAAATTCGGGACCAGTGAGTTATGCATACTTTTCCAAAGGATTTGGCGGAGAAAATGTCAATTTCCCTCAGTACTACGAGCCATATTATCAATTGTACGAACACCTAGGGTACAATGTGCCTAAGCGTTATGGTTACGGAGGCCTAGACGGATACGTTTTACATAATGGCGAAGATTACGGCGGATCGCATTTTCTACAACGTGGACATGCTGGGCAAAAGGAAAACAACGCCCAAGAAAGCTACAACAAAGGATCGCAAGGCAAACACGATAATGAAAACCATAAGGGATATTACAACAACGAACGGGGTGACAAAAGTGGACATCACGAAAGTGCGGAAAAGTTCAGTAACCAGAATGAAGGCGGCAAGAGCTCTAATGGGGGCAGTTATAGTGTATCTGGCGGTCACAGGAAGGGATCTAAAACAACAGGTTATCATAAAGTTTATAAAAAGAATGAATATAAAAAGGACAACACTTTTTACGATGAATCAGACAAACGAGGTCATTTTAATAAATATGCAAACGCCGATTCATACCGCAAGGGAGAAAGTGGGGCACTTGAAAAGGGTGGACATTATGATGCTGGCTTTCACGAATCCAAGCAGGGTGAAAATGGAGATCATGATAAAGGCCATTATGATGTTGTCGATAGCAAGTTTAGCGATCAACAGGGAAAAGAGGGATATCGAGAAAATTATTCCGGGTACGCCAAGGATCGCAAAGAAAATGAAAACCTTTACGGGTATAAGGAAGCTTAATTTAACTGTCGAATAAATGATAAATCTAGTCGTACGTAAGTGTATAGTTTACATGGGATAATCCTTCATAAGTTACTAAAGGCAAGAGTGTCACGCTAAGAAGAAAACTTCAGGATGAAATGATGAAGCGGAAGCATTTTCCTTTTAACCTTGAACGGAAAATTACACCGTTGAATATTCATAGAAGTTAAAAGTAGCGCCATGCATATAATTACTGTTTTAATTAAAAGCCTGATTAAGCTCCCTTTACATGACTTGGTTTCTCCCCAAATCTACTTAACAAATGATTCTTAACCGCCAGTTTACATTTTGTCCATGTAAAAGGCAATCCTGAAAGGAACTTGTTTTTACAAGGAGTAGGTACTTCCGGATGTAAATATTTGCAGGTAAATGCAAAGTAAACACGTAGATTAAACTCTTGAGTCTGTTGAATTTGTAATAATGTTTGTCCAGCAATGTAAAGTAAATTTGTTAATTATGTATATTATGTACTCACAGGTATTTAAAGTATACTCGCTCAGTTTGTGCGATTTTTTTTAATAAATAAGAAGCATGAGATTTGTTTGAAGTAAGAAGTAAAAACTTTTTTCGGTGCACGAATGAAGTTTGTGTGTTTACCTTTTCGTTACAACGCCTACAATTTAGAATTAGAAACACAATACGAAACTCATCATCGTTTGAATGAGCTGATGGTTATTTTTGATTATATATTTATTTCAATATAACAGGAAAGAGCATAGAAAACAGCGAGTTCATAACAAAATTTCAGATTACAAAAAAAAACGTTATATGAAAAATAATACATCATTATAAGAGGAATGGGCTTTCTTGCAGAGTAACCCCTCGGGTTATAGTTTGTGAAACGGATGACAAGGGTTTGCTACGGAAGCGCTCAAGTGAAAATGTTGAAATTTTTCCGAGTAGACTATGATATGGATCAGTGTTATTAACAAAGGGTATAAAAAACGACATCGGTAATCAAGGGAGGAAACGGTACAATTAAATTAAGGAACAGTAATAGCGTTGAGTGAAAAATCCACTAATCTTTCAACGGGAATAGGCATTGAATAAGCAATTACTTATTCAATGCTGGGGGCCAAATCAAAGCTGTACGGAGGATGGTCAATGATTTCCCACTTGAATTTGGTGCTGAGATCCCTCGTGGTGTGGGCCACGTGAGGGCGGGCGTTGTCATGGTGCAAATAAAATCCATTTGTCAACCGGTCCTTAGTTTTCTTCTGTATAGCCCGGCGTAGCTTTGTTAGTGTCTTGTAGTACCTTGAGATTGCGATGAGCAGAACGCATTTCCTGTCCCAGAATACCAAAGCCTGGCGGCTGGCCTCAAGTCTCGAGTTGAAAAATTCCTCACCCTCTTCGGCACAGAGACTCGCAAGCACTTTCGACGTGCTTCTTGTGTTCATCAGGGAACATCCGCGTCACCCACCTGGCACACCTTGTGAACTTTAGAATATGGGTCAAAATCTTGTCTACAGTAGTCCTAGAGACTTTCTGTTTGGCAACCTCTCGCAAAGTCACGTGCCGATTTCTCAGAACATGGTGAGCGTTCCCATACTGGAAAATGTATGGTTACACCATTGACCATTTGGGTTGTTTAGTGTGTTGTGTCCACCTTTTTGGAATCGCGTATGAGACTTTCCGAGAGCAACTCAACTCAGGAAGGTACCATGTTCGTCGTTCAGAAGTTAAATTTTCCCGCAGTTTTCCTAATTCGTAAGGTAAACATACCACAGTAGTATAGAACAACTTAAGACCTTCTGCAGGGGCACCTCTAAAAAGAATTATGCGGACCACACTGTAATTGAACGCAACCCTGTTGCGAAAGGGATAATAAATAAGCAACCAAACAATGAGAAAGTCTATTAAATGTTTTGGATCTGTTCAAATATCAGAAAAAAATTAAAACAATTTCGGTTTTTCTCTCACATCTTCGGGGTAATCGATGTGTTCCGGTTTTCTTTACTGCACGATCTTTTTAATTGTGTATCTTTTTCCTAATTTGATCATCTTCGTATCTCCTATCGTTTCCGAGATCCACATGGTACACATCCTTATCTTGGACATAGTGTATATCATCAAAATTAGGCCATAAATCAGTTATTATGCTTTTGCTGGAAGCTGGATTTTCTCAGGGGTAGATCTTTTTGTTTATTAACATAACCCTTTTTGGTGAAAATTATCCTCATCACAAACGATGGTTTGTCTAAAAATGCAGCGCCTTCTTGAATAATGAAATCAGCAAATTGTCTACGTTGTAAACGATCAGGTACTTTATACTTAATTCCATACGTGTACCGCTTCATAGCGAAAAAGAACACAACTAATTGCAATAGAATGAAGCGCTTTTAGATAAGAAACGAGTGTACAAACAGTCAAACACAGAGTTGCCGGGTGCTAAAGATTGTTCTTACGGATCATGTGGAATAAATTTTCTGTTATAAAGTTTTAAAAACACTGACCGAAGCTTGGTTTTGATTGTGTCCGGATTCGGCAACTATATTTAAAAAAATTGGTGGGAGAAAGGGAGTCTTCGCTGAGCCTTCAAAGCGAATCTAGATCTAGGTGAGTGGCTCGCGGCATTTTATATCGCTTAACATTTATTTCAACTGAACGTTTCACGACGAATATACAGTCGGGGCACACGGAAGATTTAAACAGCCGCGTAATATTTTTATCGCCAAAATTGAAGTTAATTTCCCCATTACAAGGGATAATGCCGTCAAGTTATTGTCGGGTGTGCTTTTAAATTCATTGCGAGTTGCCATCACGAGCAAAACTAATATAAAGTGGAATATTTACGTGAAAACATTTTCGTTAAGTTACATTAATGGATCAGCGTGATCGCGTCTAAATAAATTTTACCACGAAACCTTTGTAGTACAAAACGTGCATTGCGTCTATACTTGCAGTTACGATAATACAAGTTTATTAACCAAATTCGTGCGTCTATCTTGTTTATGCGGGGCGCTAATAAGATTCTGGATTAGACGGCAACCGGTAAATGGTTTAGAGACGATTAATTAGTGCTTTTGTTAGCTGTTAAAACTCTAAGTATGCAAAGGGAGAATTGATACTTCAACATTCTATATATACATACAATCCAATTTACCTGAGTATTTATCTGAAACCAAAGCACCAGGTTTTGATTTTCAGTTCATTACTTATTACTTTTCGACGATAAAAAAATACAAAAATGTACAGTGTGTTTAATTTAACTATGTTGACATACACTTTTATGTAACACCCGGTAAGTGTATGTATAAAATATGCCACAGCTTTTTTTGATCAACGTAATTAACATAGGTATTAAGAAAGAGGTAGCACATTTCCTTCCTTTAAGACAATGGATTGATAAACACACGCTCCATATTTATAAACAATTTACTCCAACTCAAGCGCAACCACCCCCGATAGATATTTGTAATGTAGACAACATCGACTTAACTTTTACATATAAATAAATAAGCCATTCCCAGTTTACTGTTTACAAATTGGCATTCCCTAATTTTTAAACACACGATTGAGAAATCACTAACGAACTCCTTCATGTGGACATTTATAGGAGTTTCGAAGGAAAGATTTGTTTCGTGTTTTAGTGTCCTGTGACTTCTTTATCTTGTCCTATTTACGTTTTTGACTTGCGACATTTTGTTTCATAGCTTTAATACACCACTCACGGCTTGTTTCAGCATTATATTGTCCTGTGTGAAGAACAGAAGTGTAGGGCGCAGTCCCACGACATATAATCTATCTAAAAATTTTAGACGTGCTGTAACCTGCGAGTGCTCTAAATAATATATGATGGACCAAAAGGAACACAAAGACGGATGTAAATTTTTGACATTTATCTAAACCGTGTATAGAACACGGAAACATAACGCAAACGTTGCCCTTCGTCACTTAGTCTTCGTTTGCGAGATTGCAATTCTCGGTTTTAATAACGTCGTACATTCGTTTTCAAACTGCTCCCTTGTGGTTCATTTAATGTATGTACCTACAATGGGACAGTTGGAAATTACACATAGGTAGTATCGTGCGGCCTCATATAACCGCAAGGTATACCTCTCACTCTCATTTCATAGACAAAGTTTGGGACATGCGAATAAACAGCTATGAACTACTTTTCTACTTTTTTTGTAACTGGATGTATTCTTTTTTGTTTAATGTTCTTAAGATATTTCTAGATGGTCACATTAAGGGCCGGTTTTTCTTGTTTCATTTTTGGAAAAAATACGCTATTATATTCGTTATGGCTGGCTGGCAGTCCGGCTGAGATCTCAGCAAGTACAATTGCTAGAGACTGTAAATTTTCACTGAAAGCTTGTGTTAGTGCAGGCTCTATTTCTATATCTATTTTCAGTTAGATTACTCGTGAGATCGATAATTTTAAACTTTGCTAATGAAATACTGATCTGCATTACCAAAAATGCGCTTTCATCATGCATATGCTGATTTACAACTTGTTTGTTAGAACATTGCAAACTAATTTATTTATTGGATATGTACTGGTACGCACTTCTGAAATTTCATAGGAGATTTATGGTAAACGGCAAATAAAAGTAATGGTTAACACACAAACGGATTAACAGATACCTTTTAAATAGGACAATAAAATAAAATTTCGGAAACTGCCCGCTTCTTATTAAGATGGTTTTCCGACTCAAAGCTCAGAAAGATTGAGTTCGACATAAAACATATCAAAAAAAAGTGTAGGAGCAAATTTGTGCACTATAACGTCGCCAATTTATTCCAGTGGCGTTTTTTGGAACGGAACCCACCATATTTTATTGAAGAATAGGAAAGTACTTGAAGAGTAGGTACTTATTTTTTTATTCAACGATTTCGAACGTTTTTCGAATTATTTTTTTGAGAGAAACTAAACTGCGCCGGCGCGGCGGTGGTTTTTAATTGAAGCACGGGCTAAGACCTCTTCCACTGTCACATAATTTTTTTAGGTGTCTAATCGGAAAAATAAAATTTTT